GTGGCTCCTCTGCTGGGTGGCCCTTGGTCTCCTGGGAGCAGGTGAGGCCCGAGCACAGAGCAGAGAAGAGAACCCTCATCCTGGGCTTGCTGATCCAAATCAGAGTGCTTTTCTGCATTAGCCACTCTCAGGACCTTGGCCTTAGCATCACTGTCCTTCTCTTCCAGGCTTATCTGAGGATGAAGTCACCCAGACGCCAAGACATCTGGTCACATGGAAAGGACAGAGAGCAAACATGACCTGTGTTCCTAAAAAAGGACACAATGCTGTTTACTGGTATCAACAAAAGAAAAATGAAGAGTTGAAGCTTTTGATATATTTTCAGAACAAACAAGCTATTGACCCAAAAGATCAGTCCCAGGACCGATTCTTGGCTGCATGCCTTGAAGACTCTCCCTGTGAGCTGGAAACCAAGTCGTCTGACCTCCAAGACTCAGCCCTGTACCTCTGTGCTAGCAGTCAGTCCACAGTGCTGAAATCTTCATTCCTCTGAGCGCACAAACCCCATGGACCCAGCTCAGGAAACAGCTGATGGGTTAGGTTGGAGGAAGTTACAGAAATGAGCTGGAGCCAGCTAACCACAGAAGAGTTCCTTACACAGCTCGAGGAGGCTGAAATGCCAAGAATCAGTGTGCTGAAGATTCTGACAAATGACCACTTGGTCAGGGTCTAGAATTGTTGCCTCTACAACCTCCTGTTCTCCTTTGTCTGCCCTATCCTTTCACTCCCTACACATTTCCTTTCTCTCTCTATTGAAGTCCTCCTGGTCAGTTAAGAACCACCACTCTGACAAAGAACAAGTCCTTACAAGCTTCATATTTAAATCTTAGAGTCAGGGATGGAGAGAGAGCTCAGTGGGCTAAAGCACCTGCTGAGGCAAGGGCACAGGGACCACAGTTCAATTCCCAGCACCACATGCCATGCCAATCCACCCCGGGATGGGCTGAACTGGCCACAAAAAAAAGAAAGAAAGAAAGAAAGAAAGAAAGAAAGAAAGAAAGAAAGAAAGAAAGAAAGAAAGAAAAGAAAATCTCAGAATAAGAATCAATTACACATGACCTTCTGGAGCTCTGAACTCTAGCCACACATTTATGTATTCAACATCAGGTGTTGTTTCATTGGAGGTGAAATTCTCACTTTTAGATGTTTCCACTCAGCTCAGAACAAATGGGATGTTCTGTGCTTCTTTGAGTCCATGCACTCTGTCACTAATCATTGCTGCATAATACTCCATGCACTGTTCTTCAAGAAAAGACACCTACGTCCCCGGATTCCCTGCCAGTATTGAAGTTGCTTGAACATAGGTCTGGATGGACCGGCATAATCACTGTGTAGCATTACATGTCGAGGATCATGGGCAGAGGTAACCATCGAGACCTGCGTATGCCCTATGCACTTCATCTTATGTGTCTAAAGATCACCCGAGGGTGGCTCCAGTTTATGGCATAATTGACAAACATGCACAAGGCTGTACTTCCACAACTGCTGTGACATCCACTGCTCTGGATTATGGGCAGCACAGGATCTTGGGGAATCAGCAATGCCAGTCTCCCTGACTCTCTCCCAAGATATCATAAGGGGGTGTTAAAAAGATGCAGAGGATAATTTAGAAAAAAAAAACACCACAAATTTTAAGAGAAACTATGAGAGATGAAGAGAAAGTGAGAGGAGAGAGATGTCTTCAAATGGTTTCAGTAATTGGTTTACATGGTAATCATTGTCCAGCAAGTAGTGTGCTTATTTTATTTCATTTGATAACTTTCTAAAGAATATATATGTATATATACACACGTTGTTTATAGCAGTGAAAATAGTTTAAAGTATTGTAGGCAAATGAGACGAGAATCAGGTTTATTTACTAAGTGAAGATAAAAGCTGCTGTCTGGTCCAGGAAGTGTTTAGCAGGAGCAGGAGCCAGGCCCTGAAGACTGAGGCTGCCGAGTGAGCATGTCACAGCTGGGCTGGCGAGGAGGAGCAGATCAGCCTCAGCCTCTGGCCACAAGCATGCGACCATGGCCACGTGGCTCCTCTACTGTGTGGTCCTTGGTCTCCTGGGAGCAGGTGAGGCCCGAGCACAGAGGACAGAAGGGAACCTTCATCCTGGGCTTGTTGATTCAAACCAGAGTGCTTTTCTCTGTGAGGAACACTCGGGACCTTGGCCTTACCTTCTGTTCCTTTTCTTCCAGGCTTTTCTGATGACAAAGTCACCCAGACACCAAGATATCTGGTCACATGGAAAGGACAGAAAGCAAAGATGACCTGTGTCCCTAAAAAAGGACAGAATTATGTTTAATGGTATCAGCAAAAGAAGAATGAAGAGTTGAAGTTTATGGTATATTTTGGGAATGAAGACATTGTTGATGAAACAGATGAGTTCAAGGCACGATTCTCTGCTGCACGTCCCAAAGAGTCTCCCTGCCAATTGGAAACCAAGTCGTCTGACCTTGAAGACTCAGCCCTGTACTTCTGTGCTAGCAGTCAGTCCACAGTGCTGAAATCTTCATTCCTCTGAGTGCACAAACCCCATGGACCCAACTCAGGAA